TTGTCCCCACTCCCCCTTTCCTCACTGACCTAATTCAGGCTACTACCACCTCCTGGCCCCCACATTCACCCCAGCTCTCAGCTCCGCCCTTACAAAGACCAGGGTGCTCTTCAGGGTGCTGTCTCCAGAGTGTAAAGCCAAGAAGAGTATTCACGAGCCACCCACTGAGACCCCAGAGGTCTGCACTCACATCCCAGCTACAACCTGTCCCTGTCGCCCTTCCCTGAGCTCCCTCTTCCTGTCTGCTACACACTTGCCTCCTCCAGTCTCTCCCTTCTTGAAGCTCCCTATACTCAGGAGGTTAATCCTCTATCCCTTTGCCTAGAGGCCCCACCCCTACCCTCTGACAGCCCCAGGCCCCCTCATCCTTTGGACCACGGTTAATTATGACCCTTCTCTCTTCCTGTCCCTTGGAAGTCGTTCTGTGCCAGCTTCTCAGAGCCTGGGCCTTCCCCTCTTATGTCTCCCATGTCTCCCTCCCAGCTCACATTCTCCATGTAAATGAGAACTGCAATCTCCTGTCCAGACCCATACTGCACACCAGCCAGGACCTGACATAAAAGTAGACACTTGATAACTATTCACGGAACAAATGACTCTTTCATCCGGGCCCCTCAGCACCCCACTCCTGGGCTGTCTTTCATCTGCGGCTTTACCATTTCTGCTTCATCTGCCTAGAAGGTTCTCTCCTACCACGCCACATATCATTTCCCACTCATCTCTCTGGGATTCATGTTCAGCCCCCCTATTTAAGTTTGGTTTCTTTTCCCCCTGGGTCTCCCCAATACATAGCTCTCTATCCCAGCTCTTTAAAATTGCAAATTGCCAGCTAAACGGGAGAGATTATCGCCAATTATGAGCTAGCCTCCCCTCTCCCTCAGACCACTACAGACAGTGGTTTAAGGGCAGCCACTGATGACGGCCTTTCAAACAGTCAGGAACTCCATCTCTGGCTCGTTGGCAGAGCACACTCGGGCCCACGGTGCTGCTTTGCTGGGGCTGCACTGGGGAGGCAAGGAGGAAACAGCACACAGAGGACTTTTCCAGAAGCAGACAAGAGCACAGGGAGGTGAGGAGCAAATGCTGGACCAGGAGCATTTGTGTGCAGAGAGAGGGTGCTGGGGGCTGCAGGCCTTGGCCACTCAGCCACTCTCCCTTCGTTGAGTACCTACTGTGTGCAAGGAATGCAACGGGAAGGACTAGGAGCACACAGAGATGTGGTCCTGGGTGAAAGATACACATTGGGAACGGCCACCTATGTCACCTCCACGGTGCTAGCTAGGTGCACAGGGAGCACTGTGTCAGCTGACAGGCTTCCGATGCCTCAGGGGTCACTTTTCTCCTCCCCTTCCCAGCATTCCTTTGCTCTTTTGTGCTGTGGCTCATTCCCTCCTTTCCAGCATTCTGCATAACAGAGTTTTTGCTTTCTCTCTCTCCTTTTAGACAGGGTTTTACTACATAGACCAGACTGGCCTCAGTCACATAGAGACCTGCCTGTGTCGCCCTCCCAAGCGCCTGCACTATTGCACCCAGTCTTCCTTCCTACTTGAGATATGGTCTTGGGTAGCTAGGGCTGGCTTCAAAATCACTACGCAGGGGTTGGAGAGTTAGGCTGGGTGGCATCTGACTTTAATCCCAGCACTGGAGAAGTCAAGGCAGGAGGATCTCAGAGGGTTTGAGGCTAGTCTTCGTCTACATAACCAGTTCCAGGTCAGCCACAGCTACATTGTGAGACCTTGTCTCAAAAGTCAAAACCAAAACAAGACCAAAAAAAAAAAAAAAAAAAAAAAAAAAACAGCAAAAAGAGCACTAAAGGCAGAGGCAGGCAGATCTCTGTGAGTTCGAGGCCAACCTGGTCTACAGAACAAGTTCTAGGACAGGCTGCAAAGCTACACAGAGAAACCGTCTCAAAAAACAAAACAAAACAAAAACAACAACATTGGTTGCTCTTCCACAGGACTCAAGTTCAATTCAATTCCCACAGCAGCCTACAGCTGTCTGGACTCCAGTTCCAGGGATCAAACACCCTCTTCTGGTCTCTACACTAGGCAAACAGGTAGTGAGCAGACAGATATACATGCAGGCAAATGTGAACAACAAAATTAAAAAAAAAATCACCATGTAGCTGAGGGTAGCCTTAGACATCTGATCTGTCTGCTTCCACCTCCCAAGTGCCGGAATTACAGCTGTGTGTACCACCGTGCCTTGTTTATGGAGTGCTAGAGATGGAACCTGGAGTTTTACATATGCTAGGCAAGCATTTACCAACAGAGTTCCATCCATATTTTTAGATGGTTAGAGGCCACTTTACTCTGTCTGTGTCCCCTGGTTGGGGGTTAAAGGCTTGTAAAAATATACAGTATTGGGTTCCTAGTCCCCCAATGAGGAGACTTGGGGCCAGCATGAAGGCTGTCACTCTGCCCTTCTGCTTGGCACAATCAGGTGGGAGAGTCCCTGTTCCTTCAGCTTCCAGCAGGGGCCTCATGGCCCACTTTGCTCCTGATTGCCTCCTCTGCCCATGAGCACCTGGGAATTTATCTTCCTTTGCCTACTTTTTAAAGGTCAGGCTGCCAGGGACTCCTGTGCCTTACAACTTCTCCAGTACCCTCCACCCCCCAGGACAGACCTTCCGGTACCCTTCGATGACGAGGCATTCTGCTCTGTCCACCAGGGCACCACCCCCACCCTTATCCAGCAACCTGGCACCTATGCCCCTCCCTGCACCCAGCACCCCAGCAACAGCCAAAGCCTGGCTGGTTTTGTTTTCCAGGCTTGCCAGCTGATGTCTTCAGGCCCCCGACCCTGATCTTTTAATTGCTTCCCCTCCCCCTCCTCTTTCTAGTGAATTCAACAAAAGCTGTCCAAAATGCAAGCTGGACTGTAACCAGTCCTTTAAAAACCTTCCCAGGTCCCCCACAAACATGGATCGAGACCCCTTCAGCTGACAGGTAAGCCCCCTATGGCAGATGCCGGCCTCTGGTCTTAACCTGGAAGAGGCACTCTCAGAGAACAGCAAGCTGCTCTCATTGCTAACTTCCTGCACCCCCTGCCAGGGATAGCCCTTGACAGACCTACCTCTCCTGACCTCCTAGACATGACTGCCCTTAGAAAGTCAGCCCTGACCTTCCTGTCCCTCCCCCACCTTCCCTGGTGCATCCTCAAGGCTTTATGGGGACTGTGTCATTGCACTCACCGCAGTGAGTTATAATGATCGATTTTCACACACAGGGCGAGGAGATCCTTGAGGGCAGGGATGGTGTCCCATTCATCTCTGTAGCCCAGGCTCTGGCCTGGTGCCTGGTACCGAGGACAGGCCCCACCAGTGGCTGATGGATGAAGGCAAAGAAGAAAGTTGGAGGAAGTGGGAGCCAGGACTGTCCAAGAGGGGAGTGAGGGCAAGCCTGGCAGGAAGAACAGCCACAAATGTGTGGGCAGTGCAAAAGCGAGCCCTTCCATTTACTTCACTCCCACGATGCCCGCGAGCCATGCTGCCTGCTCAGGGTTTATACATTGTGTCTCCTCTAAATGACAGATCTGGAAACTGACATCAGAAGAGGGAAGAACCTATCCAAGGTCATACAGTGTGTAGGGGGCTGGAGTGGGGTCTGAAAACAGTAGTCCTACTGCTGGGCCACACTGCTGTTCTGGGGGTAGAACTTGGAATGGGCAAGGAGTGGACCCAGCTACACTACACCTCTGCCCAGCTGAGAGCGGGAACTAGCTGCCCACGCTCAGACTGACAGCATCTTCCTCCCAGCTGGACCAGAGGCTCCAAGGCCACACAAAAATTTACCTGCTTCCCCCCCCTCCACACCACCCCCGGCTTTGGGAATCACACACACACACACACACACACACACACACACACACACACACACACATGCAAACGGCCTAGGGCACCCCGGAGACAAGGGGCTCATCCAGACTACCTCCTTCTGCAGTCTCTCCCTCTTTGCACTTGGCCCAGGCTGATATTAAGATTCATCTGCATTCCTAGCACAACGCCTGGCAGATGGTGGGGGAGGAGGCTGGGTGTGAGCTGGGGGCTGCAGCCAGGGACCACACTGGATCTCAGAGGGGCCCCAGGAGAGTGTGGAGAGCCCACCACCAGCCCAGCCCTACGCTAGGGCCACTCCAAATGCCTCCAATGGGTCGGAGGATGTGACCTTTTGTTTTTCTCAAGACTAAAGGAGTCCTAGAGAGGTAGGAAGGAGGTCCATCCTTTAATGGTGGGAGTGATGGAAAGTGACTCTGTACCATCGGGAATCTCTTGTCTAGGTCAGTCCCTCCTTGCTCTGGAGATCTGAACAGACCAGAGCAACCTGGGACCCTACTGGGGTGGGCCCCTACTCAGCCTGGTGAGCACCTGTGTCGCAGAGAATGGGGAGGGAAGCCTCTGAGAGGTCTTGTTCATCCCATTCACATCTCTATTTCTCGCGAGGCAAACCCTTACCCCAACCCCAGAATCCAGTCAGGCCCCTACTGGTCTCTCTTCAGGCCAGGGCCTCAACCAAACGCTTCATGAGGAAGAAAACGAACAGCCGTGCTAAGAAAAGGGGCGCGAGCTAGACACTTAGAAGAACTTCCCTCAGCACCCTCAAGTCTTTCAGGAACCAGCAGCTGTGAGCTGCTGTTGATATCATTGCACCCTTAAAATGGATTTGGACAGAATTAATTTCTTTCCAAATTCCAGGACTTCTAGGGGTAGGTGTAGGTAGGGCGACAGATCCCCGATGCCCTCTACAGAAAATAAGGCGCGCTGCCAGAAGGGCGAAAAAGCTGGTGTCCCCATCGGCTGTCTTCCAGCCTCTCGCCTCCTCTCCCAGAGCTCCTCCGCCCACCTCCTGTCCCCTACGCTGGAAAGTCGGCGTCCCAGGTCCCTAGGCTGCGGGCCGGCAGGGGAGGAGTTAACTCCGGAGGTACCGACTGGGCTCACGGTACCTGCCGCCGCCGCCGCCGCCGCCAGTGGGAGGGACGAGGAAGCGGGAGCCGCCTGGGCGCCAGGAGCGCTCCAGTCTGGCGGGGCGCAGCGCGGGGAGCGGGCGGCCGCGACTCGGCTTGGCCCGGGGCGTCCGCCAGGGGGCGCGCCACGTCGGGGCGGGAGGGGCCGTCTGGTCTGGGGAATTAGCACCGGGGACGGACGCGCGCGCAGGTCCCCAGCACATCTGGGCGAGAGCCGAGCCTCTGGAAGCGAGCGGGGCGCCGAGCGCCTGTCTGGAGAGGCAGAGCCACCGCGCAGCCAGAGCTCCTTCGAGACGCTCCGGGCTCACATCTGGGACTGGGAGAAGGGACCGCGCGGCGCGCAGCTGGACGCGGGGAGGGGGCGGCGGCTACACAGCTGGACCGAAGGGGGCGGGGTCGGTCCCAGCGACCGGCATAGGGGAGGGCCGCGAGCCACCGGGGACGGGAGCATGGGACAGCGCGCCTGAAGGAGCAGTCCAGGGAAGAGGGGGACTGGGACCCCGAAAAGAAAAGAGAGACGGGTGAGAGCGGAGGAGGAAGATGCAACTGACCCGCTGCTGCTTCGTGTTTCTAGTGCAGGGCAGCCTCTATCTGGTGAGTGGTCCGCGGGGAGCGGCGCAGGGCGGGGGCCAGAGGATGGGGAGAGCGCGGGAAGCTGCGGAGCCCTGAAACTTTCTCCCTCCCCCCCTTACCCTGACATCCCGGGGATACGGGCGAACGCTGGAGGCTGGGGGAGAGGGCGGGTCCGAGGCCGGAGGCCGGACAGGAAGGGTTAATAGGGGCGGGGAGGAGGGTGCTTGGCTGGCCCACCCACTCCGCGGCTGATGGCGGGAGGTGTGAGCGACACTAGGGGAAAGGCCCCTCGGAGCTGAGTCGCCAAGGATTACCCGACCTCTCCTAGCATCCCAGGACGCGCGGAACGGGGGTGGGGCAGGTGACCTGCCCGCTCAGGGGACGCAGGCTTCTCCTCTGACCTCTGGAGCCCAGAGAACCCCAAACTGTGGGCCCTGGCGCGCCAAGCCCGGGCGAACTGGGGGCGGCCCCCGCGTCCCTTCCTCCCGCCGTCCCTCCCGCTCCCTCCCTCCTCGCCTGTTGTTTTCCTCGCCTCTCCCGGCTGCGCGCAGCCCGAGCCCCACAGGACCTGGGCAGGCGGCTCCCGCCCCAGGCGCTCATAGCAGCTGAGCTGAGAGCCCAGAGCCCGCTCCCCCGCGGCTCAGGATGCCCTGGAACCCTATTCCGGACCCTACCCTAGAGCTTAACTCCCCCGCGACCCATGCCCGCCGCCCCACATCTGTCCTCGACCCCAATCCTGTCCTGGGGAAGCCTCAGCACCACGGAACTGCCCCCTTCCTCAAAACAATTCCCATTGACAGCAACCCTCCACCACTGCTGGGGAGGAAGCCTCCCCTGCCTGGCCCTTACCTGTGGCCCTGATCACTACTGAGCTATTGATTATCTCAACCACTCAATTAAACCCTACAGCCAGGTACGAACAAGTGGGCAGGCAACCTTGAACCCTAAGAGCCTCCCTTCCTGCCTATCCTGACCCTGGGGACACTGGGAACCTGGAAAGCAGGGCTAGCTTTAGCTTTGGGACAGATACTGGCTTGGTCACAGTACCCAGCCTTAGGCACAGCCAAGGCCAGAGCAAGAGGCATAAAGATGGAACCCTTTTGGAATCTCCCATCCCAGCTCCTCAGGAATCCCTCTGCCTCGCCCATGTCATCATCAGTCCAGATGTTGTAGTTGAGCTGTTGTCTCCTCGCTGGTGACACAGACACACTGGTAAGAACTTGGTCCCAGAAACTGAGCAAACACTTCCAGGCCATTGAGTCTAGGGAGTCAGGTAACCTCCCCTGCTGGCTCATTCTGCTCATTCTCCAGGAAGCCTCCCCAAGGTGTGGCCTGTCACCATAGCCGAGCCTGCCGAAGTGGAGAAAGCCCTGGCAGAGTTTGACAGGACATTCCAGGTGGAAACAGGGCTTCAGTTAAAGCCTTGTGCAAAGGGACATCTGGTCTGTGCCTTGTGATGGGGACAGTTGTGGCCTGTGTCTTGTGGTGATGTACCCTGCACACACACCCTGATGTCCTCACCTGTGAGGTGAGACTCACGAGAATTGGTCCCTCAACATACAAGTGCCCTCTTGGCTTGTCATCACCAGGGTTCCCCAGAGAAGGGTTTTGCTTCCATAAGCTGGCTATCCTGGGTGTGGCATTCACACCTGAGTCTCCTAAGTCTTAGCAAAACCTGAACCAAACTGGTACCTGCCTAGGACTGTCACAGGGTTCTGGACAGTCTTCTTTTATGTTCTATAGGTTGTCTTTGACTTTAAAGCCAGCAGTTATCCTAGGCTAGGAATGGTGTCTCAGCCAGAAGACTAAAATGTCTTAAACGGCATGAGATGTATGTGCATGTTGACACAAAGGAGTGCCTAAGGTAGGGATGGGGCTCCCTAAATAAATTGCAGCTCCACAACTCCAGATGAAGGACTCCCGGAGGACAGAAATGATGCCTCCCTTGTATCTTGGCCATTTCAAGGCTAGGGATTCTACCTTGCCTTCAGACTGGGGGCTTCTGCAAGACCAGAAGCTGAGCTCTGGCTAGGAGATTGTGGTGCATCTCAGCCCAGTCTACAAAGGGAGTTCCAGGACAGCCAGGACTGTTATGCACAGAAACCCTGTACTGAAAAACAAAACAAACAAACAAAACCAAAAAGAAGCTGAGCCCTTCCCACCTGGCTGGAGAAGAGAACTGTCCCTGATACCCTAGTCCATGAAGGGAGACACTTGCTGGCCATCGTAGGTTTTGAATAGCAGCCAGAGGCAGGGCAGTAAAGTAAGGACAGGAGGTGACTGATGTAATGGAGCATGGGAGTGGATGATGAGACAGAGAGCCAGTGTGTACACCTGACTACAGCACAAGGGAACAAGCAGGTCCCCCTTAGCCCTGCTCAGACAGGGACAGAGACTGTGCAGATGGTGATAGGGTGGTGGACCAGATCTCAAATCTCCTGGATCCTCTGAGGACAAAGCTCTAATTCTCTTTCCAAATCCCTCCATAGGTCATCTGTGGCCAAGATGATGGTCCCCCTGGCTCAGAGGACCCTGAGCATGACGACCATGAGGGCCAGCCTCGGCCTAGGGTACCTCGCAAGCGAGGTCACATCTCACCTAAGTCCCGCCCCTTGGCCAACTCCACCCTCCTAGGGCTGCTGGCCCCACCTGGGGAGGCTTGGGGTGTCCTTGGGCAGCCTCCCAACCGCCCCAAGCAAAGCTCCCTACCCTCGACCAAGGTGAAAAAAATATTTGGATGGGGTGATTTCTACTCCAACATCAAAACAGTTGCCCTGAACCTGCTGGTCACAGGGAAGATCGTGGACCACGGCAACGGAACCTTCAGCGTCCACTTCCGTCACAACGCCACAGGCCAGGGTAACATCTCCATCAGCCTTGTACCCCCCAGCAAAGCTGTAGAGTTTCACCAGGAACAGCAAATCTTCATCGAAGCCAAGGCCTCCAAAATCTTCAACTGCCGGATGGAGTGGGAGAAGGTAGAACGGGGCCGCCGGACCTCGCTCTGTACCCATGACCCAGCCAAGATCTGTTCCCGAGACCATGCTCAGAGCTCGGCCACCTGGAGCTGCTCCCAGCCCTTCAAAGTCGTGTGTGTGTACATTGCTTTCTACAGCACGGACTATAGACTGGTGCAGAAAGTGTGCCCAGATTACAACTACCACAGCGATACCCCCTACTACCCATCTGGGTGACCTAGATGGGCCACACCGGCCTGTGCAGGAGGCTGGCTGTCTGGACACTGGGCAGGGAAGGGATGGGTCTCAGGAAGGGAGGGGGTGGAGCGGACCAGAGGCCAGGTGGGCCAGGGCCAGGCCACGGGTGCTGAGGAAGGGTCCCCAGGGCTGGCCCCAACCTGAGGTGAGAATGTACTTGTTATGGAGGAGGAATGGGCTCTGGGCAGCCTTGCAGAGCTTTCCCAAAGCTGATGCTGGGCCCTGAGGCCCCTGGGCAGGCAGGCCACATGGACCAGATCAAGCCAAGGAGAAGACCTTAACCCTTGGCTCTCCTTGTCACTCAGAAAGAGGGCAATAGTTGACAAAGGGGTGTCGGACTGTGTAGGTCAGCTAGACAACGTAGGACAGACTGGCTCAGTGGCTTCCTCCATGGGGGCTGCCAGTGGGCAGCCCCCTTTTCGGCACTGAGACTGAAGTGAGCTCATCCCCATGCTCAGGTCTTTGCTGTCATGACTACCTGTCACCAGCCAGGCCACCCCTTTCCGAAATCCCCTCTCCCTCCAGCACTCTGCACTGCTTCACTCTCTTGCTGATGGCACACCATCCCGTCCTTCAGCCCAGACAGGACTATCATGCCCTCCTAGCATGAAGGGCATAAGCAGAGCCCTTCCTGTGTGCTGTGTGCCCACCTCTGCCCTAACCCTGCCGAGAGTGCTCCCAACAGCCAGCTCTTCATGTCAGACAGGCCATTCCCAAATAAGGGTGGGGACTCCTCCTCTGGGCCATGGGGCTGTCAGCAGAGTGGGGCTCAGAAGGCTGGAACTGTGCCCTAGTGTTGTCTGTGGGGGTGGGGGGAGGGGTGGGAAGTCTTGTGAAATGCCCTGTCACTTCTGTGTGCGTGCGTGCGGAGTCTTGTCCTTGGAGCAGGGAATAAAGATTTCCCAGGGCACCGTATTCTGAGTTATCCAGGGGAGAGGGACCTGGGCCCCTGTCAGACTAGCATTTTCCAAATAGGGGCCAAAACTGCAAACCTCTTGGAGCTGAGACTCCTTGAGGCTTTGGGGCTGCCTTCTCTCACATTCTTTGCAGGTAAACAAATCCGAGGGCCAGAGGCCCAATCAAACGCTTGGGGGTTGGGCATGGCACCTAAAGGGGCAGCTTTGGGGTGAGAGCCAGCAAAGGAGGTATGTACCAAAATCTTCCTCCCCCTAGTCCTCACTGAGTTGCCACCTCTGGCCCTGCAGGGGGCAGTGGAAGACGCCCAAGGGTGCTCCATCTCTGCCACTGGGTTGTTGTTGTTGTTTTTTATGGCCTGGTCAAGTTCACTGTCCTCAGCTGCCTCTTTCTGTCCCTTCCTCTGTACCATGCAGCGCTTGCACCCGTGAGAGTCACCCCGGGGCTGGTCCTCCAACAGCTTTTAGGGTCATCCCTAACTCAGCAGGAGTGAGTAGGGTCTGTATCTGGGCCCTGGGCCTGGGTGGATGCTGACAGACTTTGAGAACTGCCCAATGACCTCTAAGCAAACTTGGCTCCAGCTCCAGAGGATGAAGAGTCTCTGCCCTCTCCAGCTGTGACTCCCATCTGCCTCTTGGGGGAAAAGGAACAGACTAAGGTGGCATGGGGACAAAGTATGAGAGTAGCCACTTCGTCCTCCTTCTGGAGATGGTATCAGAATACAAGGATGTCCAGGCAAGGGCTTTGGGGATTCAGGGAAGCGAAGGGTGGAGCCCCATGATGATGTCCCCCCTGGAGGCCATTCCAGGTCTATTCTCTTTGGAGGTCAGCACTCCAAAGGTCCCTTTTGGAAGTGTAGCCATAATGTGAAGAGTCCTAGAGTGAGGGCTAGTGGCCTGACCACTTGCAGTCTTTGCCCTCCTGCCCACCAGCTCTGAGCCCAGATGGTTCCTGCTTATATACTGCAGCACACAGCCACCTGGTTGCAGCCCCTCTGTATGTGAAATGACCTAGAAAGCAAGATGGCTGTGGGCAGGGGCAAAGGGGGACACGCTCCCTTTCCAGCTATGCCCTGAATCATCCTGAAGCCATTTCTTCTGAGCAGACTCAAGACAGGCATGCCCCTACACAGCTTTCTCTCTCTGTACCAGTGACTACAGTCAGAGCTGCTTAGGGTTGCCCCCTCCCAGTCCTCCACCCCCACCAAGAGAAACCTTGGCTGCTTGAATCTAGAGGGTTTTCCCACCTGTACCTCTCATCAAACACTGTCCCAGGGCACCTGTGGGGTGTAGCCGCAGCAGCAGAAGAAACCGGAAGGCACCCCCATTCCCACCTCTGAGTGAACACTGAACTTGAGCGGGAACAGGGGCACTCTGACCTGCCCCTCCTACTCTTCTTCCCCTGTGGAGAGCCAGCTGCTGCCGACAGCTGGAGGGCCCGGCCTTTCTGGCACACGGTGCTGCCTGCACAGGGGGTGGGTTCATTTTAATAACTTCATTTCACCCTCGTGCACACTCTGCCTCCTCTTCCCTGCCTATCTGCCTTCCCCGGCAACCAGGCTGAGCTCGGATCAGATCTGGCTAACAAATGCCTTCCCAAATCCTAATTCCTTAGAGGAGCCCTCTGGTCTCTCTGTCTTTTCAGATAGTTTGTGAGCCCCCCCCCCTTGATCATCACAAGGGTGGCAGGTCCACCCAACTTCCCGGGATAAAAGGATACCCATCTCTACCCTTCTGAGAAGCAGCTATGGCATTCCCTGTAAGAGACTCGGACCTCAGGTCCCATAAAGCTCCCTGACCTCTCACTCTGGCCTTGGGAAGCACCCACAGGAGACTGATCTTTTTGAAGGAGCCCTTCAAGAGAAGTAGGTCAGGGTCCTTTGACTTCCCCACAGCACCTTGAGGTCAGTCTACAACCTTCCCAAAATGTTTGGGGACCATGCTTCTGGTCTGTCCTGCCCACCCCTCCCACCCACCCAACTAGTTAAGGGTCTTGTCTCTCCTATAGGGTGTAGCCCCTGGAGAAAGCCTACCAGACCAAGGAGATCTTCAAGGACTTGGCTTATGTGTCCCCACCAGAGTTTTGGGGGGCAGCACCTGGGGGGTAGGGTTGTACCTCCCTCAACAGACTGAACACTATTGAGGAAGAGCTGGGTGACAATTCAGACTGGGGTAAAGGCTGTGTCTCCCTCATCCGATTAGCATCCTCTGGAGGGCAAGAATTGTACTGTGGATGAAAACGAAGTCTTTTCCAAGTGCCAGGATACCAGGAGTTACTTTGCCCTTCAGTGCTACCTGGCTTCAGCGGTCTCTGTAACCTGTGAGCTAGAAGAGGCTCCATGGTCAGCAAGGCTCAGTCCTCCTCCTGGTGAGGCTTAAGGCAAAACTGAATGGGTTTCTGTCCCTCCTCCCTCTCCTTCATTCTCCTTCCCTAGATGAGCAAGCTGGAACTGAGTCACCCCCTTCCCCATCCTTGGCAGGAATGCTGATGACCTTGCATGTGGCAGGCTCCTGTGGCGAGGCCCATTGCTCAGAGATGCACAAGGTGGGTGGGTGGAGAGGGAAGCTGGAGGAAGGGGTTTGTGGGGGTGGAGACAGCTGAAGGTCACAGGGTGATCAGGGACTTGGATCATCGTGTGGGCATTTGCAATGGGTTGAGGGCGAGTCAATTGGAATTGATCCAATGTAATGGCTGGGGGTGGGAGAGAGAAATGTTACTTCCGAACACTTGTAATTCTGTGGTGCTGCCTGGAGAACCGGGGGCTGGGGTGACAGGTGACAGGAGACACCATCAGGCCACTAGGCAGAGGCAAGGTGGGATGGCATTGGCACCTGCCAACTATGCTAAAGTTCCAGAGTGGCAGCGGACAATATCCCCAAGACATAAGTGCCACCAGAGACCTTGATTCCTATTGACAAGCTTTAAAAGCTGGTCCAGAGAGTGCAGCTAAAGTTGCAGAGCTCAAGGCTTCTCAGTTCATTACCTCAGAGCTACCTGGCTAGGTGTCCCCAGGAGGAACGTGTTAATTCCTCCTGAACCACAGAGGCTTCCAAGGAAATGAAAACAGGGTGTGCAAGGAGCTCAAGCTGGTCTCCATTGTGGGATGGATAATCTGGATGATCTTGGATAAAGGACCACCTCTAAGCTCCTCTTTATTTGAATTTTGTTTTGTTGTTTGAGACAGGGTTTCTCTGTATGGCCCTGGTTGTCCTGGAACTCACTCTGTAGGCTGGCCTTGAACTCACAGAGATCTGCCTGCCTCTGCCTCCCAAATACTAGGATTAAAGGCATGTACCCCACTGCCTGGCTTGTTTGAGTATTTTGAGACAGGGTCTCACAATGTAACTTTGGCTGGCCTGGAACTTGCTGAGTAGACCAGACTGACCTTGAACTCAGAGATCCACCTGATTCTGCTTTCTTGTGTTACCTCGCTCAGAGTGCCTCCTTATTTGAAAAAGTGGATGCAACGTGACCAGCTGCCCCACACTCCTGATGCCATCCCTTCCCTGCCATGATGAACTGTGTCTCTTAAACTGTGAGCCAAAACAAACAAACAAACAAACAACCCCTTCCTTCATTTTTGTCAGTTTTTGTTGTTGTCATAGGAACAGGAGAACTGATATACTATCCATTTCCCCTTCCTTCTTAGTAATGGACACCCAGCTGCTTGACATAATCTACTTTTCTCTGCCTCCCCCCTCCCCCACTGCCTTTCACATGTGGTTATGCCACTGAGCTCTGGACAGTGATCTTTAGGCCAAGTGATTATCCAGTAAGTTTCCGTCATCTTAAGATAGAGGTGCTCATCCTTTGTTCCTCCTTTGTCCCACCATCCACTGGCCCTAGCTGCCCTTAGTCTACAGTGGAGATGTCAGGCAGAGGTAGAAGAGTGGTAAGCTGGATGACGATACGATCCCCGAGAGCCCGAAGCTCCTGCAGACTTCTGCATGCGAGAAAAAGGAAATCCCCACCCTCCTTATGCCTCTACTTCAGGCTTCTATTTCCTTTCCTCTTTTCTGAAGCGGGTTCTTGTGTAGCCCAGGCTAGCCTGGCCTGGCTGTATAGAAGTTGGCCTTGAACTCCCTCCAGTCCTCATGTCTGTTTCTCCGAGGGCTAGGATTACAGGCAGGTCCCAGCATGCCCAAGGGTCTCCATTTCTTGGAGCTGTATCTAGTGTCAGAGAACTTCAGTTCCTGTGGATTTGGTCTCCTCATCTGTAGAACTGAGACAAAGCCCGCACATCTCAACACATCTCAGAAATGTGTATAAGACTCCTGGGCAAGAAGGGAAGT